GCCACACGTCTGAAGAGCCTATGACCTCACTGGTGCCTGGCGGGGTAAACACCACCGCCCTGTTTTCCCTGCAGACTGGAGCGGGGGAGGGACTGGCCCATCCCCCTGGGGGGAGCTGTGACTCCGGAGCCCTAACAGCCAGTGGTCTGCTGACCACAGGGCGGGAGCCAGTATCTCCGAGACCCTGCTGGCCCTGGGCCCTGGGCTCCAAGAGGAGGATCTACTTTGTCTCCGGGGTTAGTCTAGGGATGACTGGGGACGCCCACAGGGCTGGCGCTCAGGCCTGCAGCATCCCGCCCGTGTCTGACCCAGGCTTCCCCCTTCTGACACACACCCTGCTCCTGGGCTGCTATCTTACCAAAGGCCCGCGGCTCCTGTGACCATCTGAGGGGCAGAACCATAGCTGGGGGGAGTCAGGTTATAGCAGCCCCGTGTGGCTCAGGGGTGAGCGTCAACCTATGAACCAGGAGGTCACGGTGCGATTCCCGGTCGGGGCACATGCCTGGGTTACACTCTCGATCCCCAGTGTGGGGTGTGCAGGAGGCAGCCAGTCAATGATTCTCTCTCATCATTGATGTTTCTATCCCTACAATAATAGAAAAATTATACGAGGATTCTTGACTGTGGGGGGTCGGTGCCGTGTGTGAGTGTGTGTGTGTGTGTGTATGTCTGAGTGTCTGTGTGTGTCTCCCCCTACTGGCCACCAGCGGCGGGGCGAACCATCAGTCCTTGCCTATTTCCTGCTTCTATAAGGCTGTGCGCAGCCTGGCCCTCCAGCCCCTCGGGTCTCTGTCCAGTTTGCTCCTTCTCTGCGGACGCCTGGGGCCTTGACGTCGCCGGCCTGGCCACTGGCTCCAATGAAGGGACGTTTCTCCCGGTGAGAAACGGGCCAGACTAGGCTTACTGACACACACGTTTGGGAGATGCAGCTTTTTAACGTCATTCCCTTGGTTTGAGTATAAGACGGTCCATTTATTTTTCATCTTCCCTCATTATTGATCGATGCCTCTCCATCAGTGATTTCCCACTAAGGACGGGGCCAGGGGACGCAGGGACTCAGGGTGCTTCCCGGCTCCCGTCGTCCGGGCCCTCAGCCTTTTGTTGCCAATGACTCACCACAATAGCCACCATGTCTGGGGTACGGGCTTTGTGCTAGGCAGTTTCTAGGCCAAGCATGTCAAACTCGCGGCCTACGGGCCGCATGCGGCCCACAACGAATATTTTTGCAGCCCAGCCAATATAACGGTATGTAAGAAACGTTTTAATAAAACTTTTGTAACTTAATCTTTACAATATCCTGTTATACATAATTATTAATAACCAACTGCAATGTTGGCTAATGACTGATTACTATAATCTAATTGTGTTGCAGTCATTTCCCTGACGCACAGGCGCACCATTTCTCTCCACTAACACTAGCAGTGAATATTTTAGCAGCCGATGGCCACGTCATTCGTCTTGGACTGACTTGTTTGGTGTGCGCAACGGGAAATATTTTGCTTTCGGAGAACAAGGAAAAATAGGCTTATCTGCGTTACGCTTATTAATTTGTGCAGTCATTCAGTGTCTGGTAAGTTAACGTTCAAGAAAAAAATATCAACTTTTATTAAAATGCTCTATTATTTTATGTTAACGATGACTCATTTATTTCTGCCCTTCGTATACAGCGTGTCTCTATCGAAATAAACCTACGTTTCTATGAAAACTGAAGCTTTTGTTTTCTTGCGGCCCACAGTCACTGAGACCTTGTTTGTTTGGCCCGTGTCGGCCTTGGAGTTTGACATGCTTGCTCTACGCGTTACTCATTTGAGAGGTGAGTAGTAACGTGACTGTCCAGCAGGTAAGGAATCGAGTCCGGAAGGTTCTATGACCTGGTTTAGGTCCCAAAGCCAGTGAGCCGTGGAGCCGGGAAGTGACTGTGACCTCCAGGCCCCGGGACCCTTGTTGTTTTGAGAATCACGTCACGTAGACCCCGTCCCCTCCACTCCTCGGGGGTGGCATCCACTGGGAGTGGGGCGTGACGGTGCAGGCACAGCTGCCCAGATGTGGCAAGGTGGCCACAGGGGAAGGGGCGGGTGAGGGGTTTGCACGGAGGGGAGACTTACGCTTGGCGAGAACTCTTCTCAGGATGGTCTGCAGCTCGAAGGCTGAGATCTCCGCATCCTGTGGGCATGCAAGCAGGGCATGGTTATTGGTCCCGGGAGCCGCGTGGCACACGGAGCCATACATGTGCCCTGCGAGCCGTGCACGCGGCAGGTCTGGGCTGGTCTCTGCGTGTGCACCTCTCACAGGCCCCCGGAGCTGCTGGCGGGGGAGGGAGGGTGGTGGCGCCCAACCCCAGACCTAACACAGACTCTCAGTGGTCATCCCTGCTCCGCATGGGGAATAGAGATCAACTCTACACTCCTCCTGCGCTGGCGGTCTTGGTTCCCACGCCTCCCCCTGAGCACGCCTTCCTCGCCCTCTCGGCCTCGGCCCTGGCTCCCCGTGAGCTGGTCCGGCCCGCAGACCCTCAGAGCGGGCCCAGCACTTTCTCAGGGCTCCGTGGAGTGGTTCAGGCGTCTCCCCTCGCCCCCTTCCTCTGAGTAACTGATGAAAGGGGTGAGCCCATTGATGAAGATCTAGGGTGGTCGCCCTGACCGGTTTGGCTCAGTGGATAGAGCGTCCACCTGCGGACTGAAGGGTCCCAGGTTCGATTCCGGCCAAGGGCACATGCCCAGGTTGCAGGCTCGATCCCCAGTAGGGGCGTGCAGGAGGCAGGCAATCATTGGTCTCTCTCATCATTGATGTTTCTCTCTCTTTCTCTCCCTTCCTTTCTGAAAGGTAACAAAAATATATTTAAAAAAATAAAAATAAAAGGAGATAGTCTGGGTCCCCAAATTACTAGATGAAGATGGCCAATCCGTGATTCTCTCTCATCATTGATGTTTCCATCTCTCTCTCCTTCTCCCTTCCTCTCTGAAATCAATAAGGAAATAAGAAATATATTTTTTTAAAAAGAATTTATATTAAAAAAATATCTAGGGTGGCTTTTTCTTGGAGTCGTGGGAAGAAAACGGGCTGAAGAACTTTGTAGCCAACGGAGGCCCCTATGGCTGAGGGATTTTGTAAGGAAAGGGAAGTCTAATGCCCATTGTGAGTGGCTCGCATTGTCCATCCCCCCAATTATCTTCATGGAAATCAAGGATGAGGGGCCGAGTTCCACGTCTCGGGTGGAGTGGAACAGAAAGGAAATAGAAGAGCCACTGGGTGATCGAGGCAGGAGGAGCGGAGGCAGAGCTGAGGGGCCCAGGGCGGGCAGCCGTCTCGGGGGGACGTGGGCAGGAACCTGAGCGGAACCTGAGTTCCATTTGCAATTCCTCCCGCCCGGCTTCGGTTCAGTCTGTTTCCTCTCTCTTTACTGACTTATTAAAAAACAAACAAACAACTTTTGTTGATTTCAGAGAAGAAGGAACAGGGAGTGAGCAATAGAAACATCCATGATGAGAGAGAACCATGGATCGGCTGCCTCCTGCACGCCCCACACCGGGGATCGAGCCTGCCACCCAGGCCTGTGCCCTGACCGGGAATCAGACGGGTCCATAGGTCGACGCCCAGCCACGGAACCACGCCAGCTTGGCTTCCTCTCCCCTTGAACCTGAAGTCGCCTTGAGGACGAGAACCAGGGCATGACAGAGGTCTGGGGACACCTACCTCCCCGGCCAGCTGGGCGAACAGCCTCCTGAACCCGTCGTCAATGTCGTCCTCGCTGACATCGAGCTGGAAGGTGAGACACGGAAATGAGGGACAGCGGGACCCCCAAGGTGACGGGCAGGTGCCTGCTCCCCTCCCCAACACAGGCCCTTCTCGACCTCACTCCCGGCCTGGACTGGGAGGTTTTGGGGGTTGAGATAAAGGATGGTGTAAAAACTTCATTTTTTTTCCAGTGAAAACATAATGAGCGGGAGCAGGAACTACGTGGGGAAGGAGACAGACCAGTGATGGCGAACCTATGACACGCGTGTCAGAGGTAACATGCGAACTCATTTTTTTGGTTGATTTTTCTTTGTTAATGGCATTTAAATATATAAAATAAATATCCAAAATATAAGTCTTTGTTTTACTATGGTGGCAAAGATCAAAAAATTTCTGTATGTGACACGGCACCAGAGTTAAGTTAGGGTTTTTCAAAATGCTGACACGCCGAGCTCAAAAGGTTCGCCGTCACTGAGACAGACGCTAACGTCCCGCATGGGCGGCTTCGTGGACATCCGACCGCGTGGCCGTTTGTGAGCTGCTCTAACGGGATCGGACGGGAGGGCCGGCCGGCCTGTTCCGGAGGCTCGGACGCTGGCCGGTGAGCAGAGCCCACGGGGCCCTTTGAAACTGCGCCGACCCCGTGGTGGTTTCCTTCCTCGATTTTGCACTTGGAAGGACGGAGCCTGGCCTGTGCGTCTGTCCCAGCCCTTCAGGACCTGTCACTGCATCACTTTCATTTTAGAGAGAAAGCGCGGCCCAGAGAGGGCGGTGGTGAGAATCTCACGCCGATCAGCACAGCTCTGGGGCCCGTCTTGCACAGCCCCCCACGCACACGTGGCCTCATGCGCCCCAGCGGGTGGGGTGGGGGAGGGATTGGCGCTGAAGGAGGCCTTCATTTCCAGCTGTGACCCCCCCTGAACCCTGGGGTGCCTTTCTGCCCCTCCGCTCCCGGGTGGTCCACGTACCTCTTCAAGGTCACCCTCGATCTCGTCGTCGACCACCCTGGAAAGAGAGGGAGGCTGCGTGTCACTGCGAGGGGCGTGGGGCGGAGGACGCGCTGCAGAAACCACAGCTGACAGGGGGACATGAAGTCCGGCAAGGGGCAGGCCGGCGGATGTCTCGCACCCCTGGGTCCCCGCCCGTCCCCTATTAGCGGAGATGCCCTGAGGAAGAGCGACGGCCGAACAGCGGGGAGAGTCTGAGAATTGTTTGTTGGTTTGTTTGCTGGGTGCGGTCATCAGAGAGCACCAGGCCTCCCAAGCCCCCTACGGAGCCGGTACTCAGACAACCCGCTCCCCAGCCTTGGGAACCGCCTTTGTTTTTCATCCAAACACCCTGGGCCCCGAGGATCTTCCACACTGAGACCCCCCTGACAGATACCACTGCCTGCTGGCTCCTGGGGCTGCAGCGGGCAGGCCATGCGGAGCCCATGGGTGACCCTACTGGGAGCACAGCTGTGGTCAGTGTATCCCAGGCACCGTCCTGCTCCCGGGTGAGGGCATTTCAGCTCAGGGATGTCTTCCTCGGGCCCCTGGATCTTAAACTAGGCCCCCGAGAGTCCTAACCGAAATGCCGCCACCGCGAAGAAGAGAAGCTAAGGGACCTCTTGGTGCTGGCGGTTGGAATCAGAGTG